ACATACATACATACATACATACATACATACATACATACATACATACATAAATAAATAAATGCAGAGTTTTCATAACAGTTCCTAAGAATTCACTCTCCCTCATACCCCATGTCCTTCTGCAAACATGACATGCCACCTCCTACCAACTTTGCCGGCCATGGATTGTCCACCTGTCACCTTCTTACATCCCAGCGGTAACTTGGGATGCTAGTATCTGCTCCCAACATTGCTGCTGTAGATTTTTCTGTTCTTAAATGTTAAGATATTTGTAAGCATAGAAGTAGCTTTCTTTGAAAAGTGGAACTTTTCTATCAAAATGGGACCCAGCTTCTTTGAAAGAGTGATTGGTGAAAGATGGATGAGACAGGAGAGATTGAGAACTAGTGAGTTAAAATGCAGTTCAATGAGTGTATCAGTGTTTTTAAGAGCAAAAAGAAAACCTCAAAGAAGAACAGAATGACATGGTTCCAGCAATTATTCTTCCCATTCCTCCTTCTATGTACTGTTCGCTGCCTAGGTGTTTCTTGCTGCTGTGGGGCCAATAAACACATTTTCTCAACAGACTTAAAAAAAAACTTCCTTCTTTCCTTCCTTCCTTCCTCCCTCCCTTCCTTCTTCCTTCCTGCCCTTTCACCATGCTTCCCATTTGCCTCCCCACCCCCCGCTCTGCTGGCCAAGGATTCTAGTACTTGTAATCCAAGAAAGTAAAGGACTTCAGGAACCACTATTGTTTGGCTTTCCTGCGAAGGTCAGCCAAAAGTTGTTGAAGCTTCAGTTTTTATTTTAATATGGAGAGCACAATAATTACTCTTGTCAACATTTGCGCTTACAACATGAAATATATTGAGTTAGATAGCACTGTTTGTGTTGGGTCTGTTTCTTTTCTTTTTCTTCTTATCCCTGCACAATTTTTTTTTGTTTCTTTATGTGATTCATATTTTTTATAAGTCAGTTTCCCATTTCCTTATATACAAGTCCTTGTAACACCTGTATATCTTAAAGCCTTGTGTTTCTCCTTTGGAGAAGCCAAAATAAGTCTTTCGGATGTTTGGCAGTGAATTGGCATGTGCTGAAGGATACTTACATCTCATTTGTAGCACCTGGGATCATTTGCAATGAGTTTCTAAATAAACAAGTCATTAAAATGTGTACCATGGTTTTGAAACCCCATCCATGTGAATCACAGTGAAAAACTGCTTAAAAGCTATGATGTCCCCACAATCAAAAGTTATGCCGACAAGTTTAGAAACAATGTATCCTCGAATTGTTTCTAATTGTTTAGAAAAAAAATTAAACATTCTCCAAGCTTTAGATTCACGGAAGCAGTACCTCTTCTCTGAATCTTCACAAAAGAACAGTTTTCTTAAATAAAGAGTGGGAATTTTCCTTTCATTGTTTGTGAATCAAAATGTAAAGATGCTGCATTTGATCTTTCTGCTGTAGAGGTTCTAAATCTAGAAGTGCTTTAGAATCTGAATATGTCCTGCTCCATAGTTAATAGTGGCTATTTATAAAGACATTATTGTCTCTTACTCTTGTGCAGTGTACATAAAAATGGGGAAAAAGTGGCACTGTATAAAGAAAATCTTTTGTTACGAGGATGTACGATTAGGAACACCGAAGTGGTCTCTGGAATAGTCATCTATGCAGGTAAGAGATGGTTTCATTACTCCATGCCTTAAACCTTTGTCATCTCCCCGCTACTCTGTGATTGCAATCATGTTATTCAATTCCTTTGGCAGGGCATGAGACCAAAGCCTTGTTAAATAACAGTGGCCCACGTTACAAGCGCAGTAAGCTTGAAAGACAAATGAATGTTGATGTCCTTTGGTGCGTTCTCATTCTTTTCACCATGTGCCTGTTTTCAGCTATTGGTAAGTTTCCCTACCTTTTAGTTACAAAATGCAGGATACTTAACTCAGAAAAAGTATAATTAATAATCACAGATAAATAATCATATTGGTTCATGTATTGTTATAGACTGAGTTCCCATAACAAACTTAGTGCTTGCAAATTCGCATAATTAGCTTGGAATGCGACTAGATGGCCAAATTACGTCAGTCTGGATTAGGCTTGCTTTGAGATACACTTTTTAATTTTTTCTTCCCCGTTTAAAGAGAAAAAAAGGGTCACATCTAGTCACCTGAAGTGCAGTGTAGTCCTTGCGTGTGGATCAACCACACCACACATCAGGTGACCCTGTCTGGCCTTTCTTTCCCTTTAAAGGGAAGGGTCAGGGAAGAGAAAGAAATAAAAAACAGGAAAAAAAGAATCCCCTTCCTTGTCCCCTCCTATTTCCTCCTTCATGCTTTGGTAAGGCACTTGCAGATTGTGGGAAATTGAAAGTTTCCTTCTCCTTGGAAGGAGAGAGATAAGAAGCTTTCAGGGTTTTTTTCTTAAGTGATATATCACATCAGCATTGCCTTAAGGCTTAAAAAAAACCCAGAAAACAAACCCAAAACATTTTGCTTCTTCTCTCTTCTCCTCTATGGGGTAGTTGGAGGAAGTTTTTGATTTTCTGATATCAACAGGTGGCTGAAGCAAAGGGATGGCTTAAACTCTCCACTTTAGTTCAGTCCCAGAGGTCACATACACTGGAACTGAATGAAAGTGTGGAATCCTACCCACAATTTAAAAAAAAAGTCCCTGATATGGACCCCAAAAAACATGAGTAGGCAGATATCAGGAACAGACTGAAAAAGGAAAAGGAGTGAACCAGCCCATATCCAGAATGGACCAAATTGCGGGCGAATCCCCGTCTGATCAAACTCTTAGGGTTTGGAAACATATTCTGCTGTACAAGGACTACATACTTAATTTCTTATACTTTCACATCTTTGGATCTATAATATATAATATATGTTTTTGGTTTTATTGTTTTTGAATTTGTAAACCGCCCAGAGCAGACCTTTGGTCTAGATGGGCGGGATAGAAATCCAACAAATAAATAAAAACTTAAGAAGCAGAATTGCCTTTCTGAAAATTTTATACTTCACATCCTCAGCCATCAAGATGGCACTTGGACCAGTTTATAGAATAACAAGAGTATCAATAAAAATCACAACCTTAAAAATTATTTTCCCATGGTTTTTAAAAGCCCTTCTCAAATCAGAGAATCCACTTTCTAAGGCTTTCAAATCTGTGTTTGGCTCAGGTTAAAATTTGAGCCAAGGAAGAATTCCTGCATTGTGTGATCACTCTCTCTCTCTCTCTCTCTCAAGTGTTATGCTGGGCTTTTTCACCAGCTGCTGTTTTTGGATTTACTGTTGGATCAAAAATTGTTTTATATTATTATGGTACGCCCTTGCTTTTGTTTGTTTATGTATTAGTCTGTTAGTGAATTATTCACATAGCTCTCCTCCAGCCCATTTTATCCTTAAAATAACCCTTGTGAGGCAGGTCACGTTGACAGGATGTGGCTGGACTGAGGACAGATAACAAGTGGCTCAGTGGGGACTAGAACTTGGATCTCCTCAGTCCTGATGCAAAAGACTAGCCACTACACCCTACCAGCTCTGTTTCCATGCCACCTTGGGCAGACTTTGCCCTCAACATGTAGCTTTCCTAAATACATAAATTTGTTGCATGTGATTGGCCGAATATGGGGTAACTTAAGACCCTGATTATCACATTTCTTTAATGAATTCATGGTCAGAGAAACAGGCTTTCCTGAGGGAGAAATATTCTCTGACAGTAGCACAAATATGGAAAAAGGAGCACAATGGTTATTATCTTGGTGGAGGGAAGCATGTCAGTTAAACAGGTTGACTTTTCCACTTGATGGTTAATTTATGTTTTCTGTCTTTCCACCTACCTTTCAGGTCATGGAATTTGGGTCTGGCAGTATGATGAAAAAAGAAAACCTGTATTTGATGTCCCAGGTCATGATGGAAAGTATTGGTCTCCTCTTCAAGCTGCAGTTTATTTATTTTTGACAATGATTATCGTTTTCCAGGTAAGCCTGCAGTATATTAAGATAGCTTTCAGCTGCTCCTGCAAGCACTTCTGAATTCATTCAGTGCTTTAAAAAAAATGGAGACCTCCTCAAATTTTCCAAATAAAGCTGAGATCTGATCATTGACACATTTACTTTGGAATAAGTCTCATTAAATAGATAGCTGTTGCTTTGTCAATAATTGTGTTGTCCCAGGATCAGTCTCTGTTGTGAATAAGTGTGTTTAGTGTAACAGCCAACATAACCAGCTGATAAAATTGCTGGCCTTTTATTTATTTTAAGCGTTTCAACTTTGCCTCTCCAAGCCCCACAGCAGCTTCCAACAAAAATATCATCAAAATGCAATTTCCAGTGACACTGTCCTAAGCAGTTGTCAGTAAAAACAACTACATCAGCCGCAGTAGCAAAGGCCTTGTAACCAGACCCCACGGCCGTGAGGCAGATGATGTGGCTCCTTTCAGTTGCCAATAAACACTTGCTGTGTAAGACTAGAACCGAGACTCTCTGGAAAATGGCATTTTAAAATCTTAAGAGCATACCTGGGTAATGTTCTTTTAAATTTCATAAGATGATGTGCAACAAATGTTTGAGGTCCTGCCTCTCCCTCCTCTCCAAAAACCCATGGTGAAACCGGAAGGAAAGATCTGTGTTGTCAGAGTACCCATATGGCATGGTGACTTTATGTGCTGCATAATTTGAACACTTAATGTTTCCTCCTTCCTTAGTGGTGTGCTGAAATTGCACTGCATACGATCCACTGTAAAGTCAGTTGTCTGTACAGGGAACTTTGCAAATAAAAGCCTATGATGAGACTCTCCCAAAAGATTTCCCCTTATCCACTGTGAGCACAGCTGACATTTACTTCTACCTTGAGAGGCAGAGATACCTCTGATTCCACCTTTAAAGACCATGAGGAGGAGGGAGTCGGAGTTAATTCATCCCAAAGTCAGATGCATAGCTAGTTGCCTAGCTAGCTGGCCAGACCTTAACACTCAGATGTTTCTTCCTAAGAGAATTTCATGTGTGTGCTTGGCCCTCACTTCTATCCAGACCCAGTTGTGTGGAAGAGGGCTGTGCCTCCATCTTGGAAAAAGATGGGGATTTGGTTGGGGTGGGATGAAATCCAAAAAGTAACATTTCTAAGTCATGCTATCTTGCCACCAGGGCGTGCCCAGGAACCAAGAGTTTCACAGGTCTTTGCACTATGCTACCATTGGCTTAACTCCTAAACATTTCAGAGGCAAAATAGTTTTTGGAGACAGAGGTCTGTAGGACCAGTTGAGGAAATGGGAGTTTGTCGAGATGTAGGTAGTAATTTTTTTCCCAGGAAGCATCCATTACCATCTTCTTGTGCTGTTCATGTCTAGGAGCCTCAAGGACAACTCCTTCCTACTCCTAGACCCCTTACCAGAGATTACTTTGTGGCCTTATCCTAAGATGGAGAAACTTCACATCAGTGAAAGGACTAGGGATACATGAAGACTATCCGACCCTCCTTTCACCTAAGCAAGGGATGAGCAAAACGCACACAGAGGGTGGTGTGTGCCCCTGTCAAGGTTTTTTAGCCCCTCCTTGAGACTCCCCCCCCCAAGCAGGGAAAAAATATTCAACCCCAAAATTTGGTTTTCTGCTAATGGAAGCTTCTAGGTACAGCTGGTTGATACTCACTCTCCCCTGCCCCCAACAACCTCCACCCAACAGTGTAAGGCTCGAAGTGGACCTCCGGCTGCATCCCATATCTCGTCTTTTCCCTGCCGCCGCCACCCCTGCTTTTGCATTTTGGGGAAAAGAACCGCCCACAATATGTCCTGGAGTGGGTTCAGCCACTGGCCCTAACCACCCTGGCCTAACTGAATGTGCTGTGTTAGGTTGCTTGTAAGCCTGGTGCATGGGACCATCAGTTCCTACCTGAGGGGGGGGGGAAGGATTCAAAAGAAAAATAATACTTCATGATGAATAGTCTTTTGTGGGTCTTTAGAAAATCTGTAGAGAACTGCTAAAAATAAAGCTAAGAAAATCTCTTGCCTGAATGCTTTGCCCGGCAAATGCAAGCAAAAGGTGCTTTTTATTTGAACAAAGCATACTGCTGGAAAAATTGCTTCTTGCACAGAACCAGGTTCTGTTCCCTTGATTTACTTCTTGATGGAGAGCTACTTTACAAGCCTGTTGGCCTATTTTGTATATACTAAAATCTGAGGACTGTTAATTTGGATTCCCCCCCTTCTGCAAATTCTTTTATGCGGCCACAATTCTGATTCACTCTCTCTTCCTCCCTGCCTCCACTCCCTGTAACCTTTTTCTTCTTCTTTTCCTAGCTTCTTTCAAGCTCATCTTATTATCCTGAAAACATTTGCTTCTCTCCAAGCTTTGATAATAACATCACACTGGCTAATTATGGATATCAACTCTACAACTGCTCCATAGGCTTTCCTAATCTGTCACAGTAAACCTTTGCCAGATACTGTTATAACTTTACAAGCTTGGCTTTAAGTCAGACTATATAAAATTATAAAAAGGTACAGTACAACGCTGCAATTTTCATCACAAGTTGATTCAATCACACACTTTTTTTAAGCCACCATTGCTATTTTTCTGTTAATGACTGTATTTTCATGTATTTCAGGTTCTCATTCCAATTTCCTTATATGTCTCCATTGAAATTGTTAAAATATGCCAAGTGTTTTTTATTCATCAAGATAAGGATTTATATGATGAAGAAACAGACCTCCAACTCCAGTGCCGAGCTCTGAACATAACTGAAGATTTGGGACAGATTCAGTATATATTTTCAGACAAGACGGGGACTCTTACTGAGAATAAAATGGTTTTCCGAAGGTGCACTGTTTCCGGTATAGAATATTCTCATGATGCTAACGGTAGGTATAACACCTTCTAATTTAATTTAATGCATGTGACATTGGTCTCATCTAGAGATGGGGACAAATTTAAAAAATGGGAATTCATTTTGATCTGTTATTTGTCAAGGTTAACGGATCAACAGGTAAATATTTGTCCCTTCATATTCGTGGGGGTCTCTGGAACCCACAAATACAGATCGACAAATATTTAACAAATCGGCTGTATTCACTGGGGAAAAAAGATCCGTTTTTATATTCGTTCCCATCTCTAGTCTCATCTTATTTTCAGGGTTTTTTTCCATGTACAATAACCTACATTTATTCAAATGTAATCATGTCATGTTCTGGTTGCTATACAGTGGTGGAAGGTGGGCTTTCACTTAACTAGGGCTTATTTTTGGGTAGGGCTTACATTACGAGCATCCTGAAAAATCATACTAGGGCTTATTTTCAGGTTAGGTCTTATTTTTGGGGAAACAGGGTACCAGTTGATGGTTTTAACCACACTCACAGAAAAAAATAGAAAGGAAAATCTTTGATAAAGCACAAGCAGATTCACGCTATAATTTGAAGTTAATTCCACAGAAGATGAAGGAACTGGTGGGTAATAACAGTTTATGTGCTGCTACTCTGCAATAAGAGGACACACCTAGCGTGCATAAGGTCCCAGGTTCAATTCTTTCTACCTCTATTTCATAAGACTTTAGTCAGCAGGGCTGTGAAAGGGGTGAGAACGTGGTCAAGCTGTTGCATGCTGCTCAGTTTCTTCTACTTGCCATGAGAATACCGAAACAAAATCACAGACGTTCACTCCATTTTTGTTTTATTGTACTGTCTGGCAGTGGGTAACCTCCTTTTTTCTGGTTTCTCTGTTCCCAACAAACCAAATAAATAATCCAGGTGTTATCCCCGGGCTTCTTTCTGTCTGCTTTGTTGGGAAGAAACAAATCAGAGAAGAGAAGCTGCTGCCCCCTACCAGATGTGGGCATAAATTTATTTCACTCTTTGCTTAGTCACTCCACCAGCAACCTGGTTGCCCGTGACAAGTCTAGATTCCTTCAGATTCTTTACTTTTCGTGTCACAGGGACACACCCAGTGTTAGGCAGTGCCATTGCTCATACGTTCAAAGCTTTGAAAGATTCTCTTTGTCTTGATGCTCCTAATATCGGTGGTTTTCCAGTCTCATTTCATGCACTATGTGGCAATCAATCAGTTTTCCTTTCTCCAGCCCAGGTGTTATAGCTGACCGTAGTTCTTATTTGAATTTGGTGTCCAACTTTCTCTAGTTTTGTAGTCCATGGGATAGGGCATAGCTGAATTTCTGCCTTCTTTCCCTGATTGCTCCCCAGGGACTAAACTGCAAACTTGCCAGACTTAGGGTCACTCTCTCCTGTCTCATTTTATTTTCTTCAGCGTGGAGCAATGGACAACAATTGTAAAGCATGAATATTTCTCGGAAAAACATTTTCGCAAAGCACTTTTCATATTCTGTCTAACCTCCACAATGTCAAAGGGAATGTTAAGGTTGTAGATAACAGTTCAGAGTAAAGAAATTAGTGGTACTCTAGCAATATGGAGTTGGAGTGCCCAGATTCCATAGTCTTTGCACGGACAAAGCATAATAAAATCTCTCTTGGCTTGCCCTCTGCGTAGACCCTGTGAAGTCTGGGCAGGGTTGTCAGCTGCATTTTACAGGGTGATCAATCAGCAGTGAAATTGCACTCTGAGATTTCATGTTAATACTTTCACAGTTTCCTTCCAGCCAATTTAAATTTATATGGCCCAATTCTACACCTAGTTAAATATAAACCAACATTTCAGTAACATACAAGCCGGGTATAGCTAATTTCTTAACTAATCAAAAAAATTGTAAAGGAAAATGTTTGCAGTTCTCGTGTGCTAAAACTGCTACAGCCTGCAGAAGTGAAACATTTGAATGGCAACTAGACAACATTGTCTCAGTAGCCCCCCCCCCCAACACTGCCCTCATCATTCCCTGTGCAGGCTTGCCATAATAGGGGCAGGTTGACCAGCAGAAGGTGGGACCCAAACAAGATGTGCTAGATAAGGTAGCCATAACCCTTGTTAAAATCCTCCTCTGAGCCCTGCATGGTGTCAAAAGGCAATTGGTAAAACGGAAGGTGGCGGCTGCAGGTAGTTTGCGCTTCTCTTAGGAACTCTGCATCGTTTTTAATGAGGGAGGGGTGTGTGTGTGTGTGTGTGTGTGTGTGTGTGTGTTGAAAATAAATTTGGCCAGCGGTCAACTGTAATGGCCCTATCATTTATCTCACCAACACTGGATTGGTTATGACGGAACTGGCAGGGCAACAATAACAGAACAATACATGAAAATCAATAGTGGGTTTTCAGCCAGAGTCGCAGTAGTACGGGAGCAGAAGATTAGGCCTGAGGTAGTGGACCTTTGTCTCTCCATATAGTTGACTCCTGTACCCATGACTCTGTTATGTCTTGGAGTTGAAGTCCAAAACAAATGATACCCCTCTCCCAGACTAGACATTTAGTAACAGTATGGATTGCTTCTACCCCTCCTCCCAGCTGTTTTGTACGCTTTCATGCTTTTGCTGCTGATTATGTGGTATTAGCAGCTACTAGCTGTTTTAAGTGTACTGAGTATGTGTAATTAGCAACAAAATGACTTCACCAGCCACCCCCCTGTTATTTAGAGACAGCCGAGCTAGGAGCAAAATTGGTTTATATGTTCTTCCGAACACCCTCATACAAATTCTTTGGTATTGAAGCCTTAGCAGCTCATTTGAGAGTTGCCAGGAAAAAACTACTCAGCCTTCTAAATGTGTGAGGGACCAGTAGTTCGGAGAATTTGAAAATGTTAAGGCTGAGTATGTTTAAACATGTTGGCAGGTAACACGTCCAAATTGCAAATGGAGCAGAATGGTTAAATAGCTGGAATTCAAAATGAACGAACTTCATGGCCTGCTCAGAACCTCTCAAAGCAGGTGACTCAGTTCCTCTCATCCTCCACTGCATGATAACCAGGCAGGCAGAAGTAAGATTCTTGTTCTACGAGACACACTTTGGCTTGGATCCTAAGCCAATTTACCTTAAGCAGGTTCACAGAAGGAAAGTTTCCCACACCTTCCTTCCCCTTGCAGCCACCTACAACTTCAGAATGCTTCTCTGAAAGGAGTAAGGGCTGGGGACTGCCTGAGAAACATGGGTACAGAAAGTTTCCTGCCCTGAACTTCACTAATCTAACTTAGGGCTTGGGCTACACTGTTGAATTTAATCTAGAGTTGATTTGTGTTTTTTTAGAATTTTTGTGTCAGTGTGTGTGTCTCCTCATGGAAACTGCCTCCCCCTAAGTAGATAGGGAGGGGGGGTGTCTCCCAGCCTTCCACTCAGTGAAGGCTTCACTCAGGCTCAAGCCACTTTCTCCAACCGCTGGGCGCTCCTTGGAGCCAAGAGGGAGGGCACAATCCGCATTCCAGAGAAGGGGAGTCTCCAGGAAGTGGTCAGGGGAGCAAGAATCATCATGAGCTTTAGTGCAGTTGTGGACATGACAGCATCATCTGCCCCAGCCTGTCCCCAGTCTCCTCGCATTTTTAATATTTAATTTTTTTAAAAAAAAAGCTTTGAACTGGTATAATGCGAGATTGATGAAATAGAAATGGATTTTTCAACAGGAAGAGTTTGGGCTGCAGGGTATCCTGCAGTCTAAACCCCCTTGTACTTGGCACTCATTTTGGCAGACCCTGCAGACTCCCCACAGACTCTATATTTACTCCGACACAGATGTTCACACATGCCAAAAAGATTCATAATAAATCATGTTCATAATCGAGTTAAAATAAATAATCCTGCCATGGATGCTGCAGGGTATCCTGCAGTCTAAACCCCCTTGTACTTGGCACTCATTTTGGCAGACCCTGCAGACTCCCCACAGACTCTATATTTACTCCGACACAGATGTTCACACATGCCAGAAAGATTCATAATAAATCATGTTCATAATTGAGTTAAAATAAATAATCCTGCCATGGATTTAAAAAAAGGAATTGCTTCCCAAGCCAAAAAAAAAAAAAATGCTCACTTAGCTGCATATCATATAGGTGGATATTTTAAAATCAATTTCAAGCAAGCTAAACCTAACAGAAAATCAGGATTATTACAAGATGTAGTGGAGCCCTTATCTAAGAATCCCAATTCAGTTTGAGTCAGTTCTCCCCTTCCCGCAGCTGCTCCTTACACCTGATCCCCTGTTGTCCAGGAGAGGCCCATGTCTCCCCGGTCTTATGAGAGGCTCAGAAGAGGAGGAAAGGGACAGAAAGCTTTCTTTCTCTGAACTTCCTAAAGTTAGCTTATTTTAGGATCCAAGCCATTGAGTTGACCACACATATCCTGACACCTATACAGATGCACACATAGCAATGCTGTTTAATGGTCATCAGGGGAAAGGAACTTTTTTTTCACCAGTTACTGTTCGTGGTTCTTAAAGACACACATATTTGTGCTCTTAATAAAGAGCCCTCTGTTTGGGGAAAGTACAAGAACATCACAAGTCAAGGAGCAGAATTGTTGACTCTGGCAGACTTCCCATCATAGCATCTTACAGAATATAAGGTTCATAGAAAAAGTTTTCGGGGAATTTGGAGAGGTAGGTGGAGAAAACATAATGTCCCCATTGGAACATTATAGTGAGTACTTGGAACATGTTGCAAAACTGAGTGATATTTTGTAATCTCTAAATATTACTGTCTATTTCTCTCACACCTGAAGAACTTTAGCATCTTGAAAGAGTAGGAAAATAGCCATTCCAGGCAGGAGGTGGGATGACAAGCCTCTCTGCCAGGTCAAAGAGTGGCTCATCGACTACAAGCTCCAGAATGATAGGAAGGGAGTGCAGAGCCCGCAGCAGCATCAGACAGTGAGTGGATGGTCCAGCCCCAAAGGGCTGGACCCTCGTTCTGTCCAGCTGTGGGTGGGTATTCATATACAAATACAAATAGCTTCATCTCTAAATATGTGGCAAAAGAGTGAT